AGAGTAAGCCATATATATATATATATATATATATATATACCCAGACACATGTTTTGAAAACACTGTGGAGAGTGTGGGTAGTGTTAATGAGCTCCAGCACCCACGGTCAGGAAGACATCCTGCTAGCACATGTGCACCTGTTGCATAACCTGGTGGCCGCGCCATCCTGTGTTTTACTGAATAGAGCACAGCAGACAGCCGAGCAGTGGTGGCTTATGTAACCAGCTGGGCTCACGCCTCTCTGTATGTTAGCTGAAGGCTGAGTGGAGATACGGCGTGAGGGAGCTTCATCAGAACTGGGGAGCACCCTTTACACTCTCCTGCCAACTTAGAGCTGTGACCCCTGCACACACCCCCACCGTGCTCCCCTGTCCCGCCAAGTTGTCGTCTTCTTCTCCTTCCTAAACCTCCTGTCACCGGCCCTCAGTTCTCCAGACTATCATTGTAAAAAGCTCTTTTGGTGACTCTCTGATCCAGATGCACAGTTCTTTCTTCTGCCTGTCTGCCCAAGCAGATCCCGCTCAGGCGGTGCGGCTCCTCTGCTGCTCGGGGCTTTGCCGATGTGCAAATGATTTGCTCAGGTTTTTTCAGCAACACTTCACCGCCCACCCAGCAGCTGCTGCCTCAGTTTACATAATGTCTGACTATATCTTTCTTGCTGATTTCTACCAGCGCTGATGAGAATTAGCGGGAAGAAGGTTTAATGCAGGAGCATAATTCAATCGTCACCTTTCATATGGAAAATTTTTGTGCCGTTGTCACTGACGCAAACTCCCCATGTTTTTGTTGTTCTTGTAGGAAAAAGGGATTTATTGAGTAACAGCGAGGTTGCAGGCTCATGTTTGAATGAGAGATGCCCTGCTTCTACACCCACATCTGTTCCTGGTAGGTTTTGGGGTAAAATTAAACTGAATATGTCCTACCCATGGTGGAAGTCACTGAGTGGATTAGTTTTAAGATTTTGTGTTTTGACTGGGGTGGTGGGCGTGTATGTGACCTTTCCAGCAGTAATCACTTCCTGAAAGGTTACTAACACACATACTGAGACATAAGCACGCACGCATGCACACACACTGAGTTTGTGCACACAAAGAAACTTGATGAGGCAGGAGGGGTGACTCCTACTCCTGTTTGTTCTCCTTCGTCTCCACGGATCACCTGCGCCATAAGGGCACACACGTGATCTCAGCCACATCCTTCACCTCTTCTTTCTCCTCAGCAGTCATGCTGTGCGTGGCTTTATTCATTTACAGTAGGAGTTGGAGGTGTTTTATTATCAGTCACTTGTCAGCGTCAGCTGAGTCACACTTTTATCTGAATTAGATCAAATTGTTTTTGAATGTTTTCATTTCATGAACTTCTTCAACTCTTCTAGCTCAGTTTAATAAAATTAGGACTAATATAAAAATCAAATGTTCTTACTGTGAGATTAATAAAAACAATCTATCAAATGAGCAGAATGTAATGATGGAAAAGGGAAGCACCTTTTTAGAAGAACTTTTAAAGAACAACAGTATTGCGTGTCAGTCCAATCTTGTGTAATTTCATACCAGATGTAACACAAATTTAAAGGATTAGACACCAAAGGTCCTCTTGATCTCGCTCTCTCTCTCTCTCCATTTCTTCCATCACATGTTTTTCTCTGTGTTTTCGTCTTGTTAGGTGAAGATGATGGGACCGAGCGGGTGTGCGACACTCTGCTCATGTGTATAATCACTGTATTGAACCAGGGCCTGCGTAATGGAGGTGGTGTGGGAGATATTCTCAGGAGACCCTCCAAAGAGGTAGGACAAGCCTAAAACGAATACAGGGAATACAGAAAAATGGAATTTTCTCACTGTGTGTTCTGTTTGAAGAAAAACCTGAAATAAAATTCTGCGTTTCTTCCATATTTCCAGGAGCCGCTATTTGCAGCTCGAGTGGTTTACGACCTTCTGTTTTTCTTTGTTGTCATCATCATCGTTCTCAACCTCATCTTTGGTGTTATCATTGACACCTTTGCAGACCTGAGGAGTGAGAAACAGGGGAAGGAGGAAATCCTCAAAACCAGTTGTTTCATCTGTGGTGTGTACAGACAGCTTCGTGGTAGAGCTAGCATGCCTATGATAGACAAAATGGTCTAAGGTAGAATTCATAACAGAGCTAATGTCTTGCAGGGTTGGAAAGAGACAAATTTGATAACAAAACGGTGTCCTTTGAGGAGCATATCAAGTCTGAACACAACATGTGGCACTACCTTTACTTCATGGTTCTGGTGAGAGTGAAGGATCCAACCGAGTACACTGGTCCTGAGAGCTACGTAAACAAAATGATTGCAGTAAGTAGGCCAAATATATACACACTATACACACAGGAAATGGTTACAGTGTATCTTTGTAATGCAGATTTATGTTCTTTAAATGTGACCCATTATGCTCATTTACACATCCATATTTTTATTCTCAGAATCTACTAAAACAGTTATTATTCTTATTTATATTATGCTGGGCTTTGGTGCAGTGTGTCAGTTCACCCACTTTATAAAACAAACTTTTTAAGTGTGCTTAAAAAGCTTGACTGAAAGCTTCTCGTAAAAAGAAGGTTTGAGCAGCAAGCGGTTGGGGCTGCTGTGCTCACAGCCGGCGCTCTGTGTCTGAGATGACGATGCTAAGCGAACACACTCTGATCTTTTACAGTGACGAGTAGAAAAAACAGAGCAGCTCAGAGGGATCATTTCTACTCGTCCTCATATGCTAACCTTATCTGAAACTTTGGCCAGCTTTAATATGAACACGCACAATTAATTACACTTTGCTAGTACTGTGCTGGACCCCCTATTGCTTTCAGAACTGCCTTGATTCTTATTGCATAAATTCAAAAGGATGCTGGAGACATTGCTTAGAGATTTTGGTCCATATTGACATGATAGCACCGCACATTTACTGCGGATTTGTTGGCCGTACATTCATGATGAGAATCTGCCGTTACACCACATCCCAGATGTGCTCTATTGGTTTGAAATCTGGTGACTGTGGAAACCATGAAGAAGAAAACATGTCGAGTTATCCTGCTGGAAGCGGCCGTCAGAAGGTGGGCAGACTGTGCTCATAAAGGGATGGTCATGGTCAACA